TGTGACTGCAGAGCTCAAGAGGACAACTCCTAGTGGCTGGTTCCAGCACGCCTTTTTTATGTGAAGTTTTAAAAGTGTTGACTTAGCTTTAGTATCAAAGGCCTTACGAAGAAAACGGAAATTCGTGAGATTAGGTAAGGTGCGACATTTTTTAGGTTGACCTTTCCTAACCATTTACTCCTTTTACAAAATCAAGATTCGCTCGGATGCTTGTATACTCGAGGTGAAACAACTTACTGCTGTTACACGCCTCTACAGTCACGACCTAAGACACACTTACCTCAGATTTAGCATGCTGCTTTTGGAGCTCACCGTTCTTCGCTCAAACGGCTTGCCTTGTAGACCCTAACAGGAACATCTATTACTGGCCAATTAAGTTCATTTAGGTCATCATGATAGGCAAAAATCGACTACTGCTTTAAGGTCGCAGCTTTGTTGGGGTTGGTGAAAACGGAAGCTTTAAATAACGATATTTAAATTAAGTGTTTCTTACCAAACAAACGATGCGGTAAAAATCAATCACTGGTGGAGGTCTGCCGATTTGATACTATAGTTATTGAAAAGCAGGGTTGGTCCTACGCATACTTCAGCACGTTGAAACAGATAGGTCCAGTAGTCCTGACGACGTTCATCAGCACTATCATGAAACGTCTGATGAGTGCTATTACTGAACTCTGGCACTACCGTTTAACATGTCTTTCGAGTAAAATCAACTGCGAGATATTGCAAGTGTGCCAATATTAATCTGAGTTATAAAATATGGAGTGGGGACTATAGTAACAATCAAGCAGTTAGTCTAACAAGCGTAGCCATCAAACAAGTGGGGAGATTATTCGGTTAGTTGTTCTATATTATTGAGCAGATAACAGGTTTTTGGACAGGGAATAGGACGAATTTGCGGACTGTTCATGTTTGACAAATTTCCTAGTTGCAAGGGTAGATCGGACTCCAGCGAGATTAATCTTATACGTCAGTAGTTCTGGCCATGGTATCAAATGATGGAATCCTGGAATTCTCTTTCAAAAAACGTAGTATCAGTGAGATTTTATGTTTACAGTACTATTAATTACAAGGAGTGATGTAGATCGGTTTACCTGATATTGATCCTGAGGATGGATTACTTACGAAGACAAACTTCAGATTGAAGGATTATTCACTATGAGTTGCAGGAGAATCATATGTGAATTTATATTGGCCTGAAACATATTAGGCACGCTGAATCAGTCGAATATCATCAATTTCTTGAAGCATCAGCAAAGTTACCTCGAGATAGCTTGCGAAAAATTGCTCATCAAAGAGTGACACACACAGATTTATATATAAATCAGTAACTTTTCTTGTGTTATAAATTAATAGAGCCAAAAGCATTTCTGTCCTAGTTGATGCCGAAATTCAATTCGTAATCATATTTACAGTTTTAATAAATATTCTTTTTTCCAAAAATCGTCACTCACTGTTATGATGATTATTATTTTTTACAGCTCTTGTTTTTCATCTAATTTTTAAACAATGTGATGGACTACCTGCTGTAATGGCTGAAAATTGTAGCTTAATTGTAAGTAAAGGAATTGCATTGTTTAAGTGATATTGTGATATTGTTTAATTTATCTACCTGTTAAATTCATTATTATTTAAATTCGTTTAAAACGATTGAAATATTAGTGAATAATGTAAAAAATTTGTCGCATTTCTCTAGCATTTCAAAGATGATTGAAATTGCAGTGGCTGCTGTAAACGCAGTCTAAGGGGCTCAGTGATTTGATGAATTGTGGTCGGGCACAAAAATATAAACAAAATTTAGTAAACAAATACGCGGAAAAAGAAGTCTACATTTATTTTATCACAACTGAGTGAGTCTAGGTAGCGTGAAAACAAATTAGGAAGTTAAGTACAGAGTAAAATAATCATTGATGGATGGGAACGGAATTGCTAGAATGAGTTTATTTCAAAAAATCATTCACACGGGCTCACAATATTGAAGAGCGTTTAAGCAAACTGAAGCGAACTGAAGTGGACCAGGGGGCGACTTCATGAATTCAGGCGTGAATATGCATTAACAGTCAGGCGAAAATAAGCAGGAAATTATTCAGTCGGAGTGTAAGAGTGCACACACTAACTCAATCGAATAAGAACTACCAAGTTGAAAACGAGTGATTAGCAAGATTGGGAAACGTGTGAATGACTCATGATAAATTGATAACCTGAATTATTCAAAGGTTAAGACAATGCCTGTGTCCTCAACATAAAAGTACACAAAGTTTAAAGCCTCTCGTAGAAAATCCTGCATTATTATGAAAAAGTGACTGTTTTCGGAATTGACGATGACGTATTGTACAAATAAGTAGAGAAAAATGTTTGCACAATTTCGAAAAGAAAACAATGATACATGAGAGTTGAGTGTCTGGTACAAAAGCCGCATTCGCATGTTACAAAATAAATAAATGTTGTACAAGAGTGGATACAACTGATGATGGTTGTGCGTGATTATGCGCAAAGTATTAAGCGTATCGAAAAAAATTAACTAGCGTTTGTGGTGTCATTTTGCGAGCAATAACGTAACACGTTTTCATGCACTAACTTACATAAGTGTAAAAATCGCACGACTAATCGTTTATCATCTGTATGCATGACAACGAAATAAATTAAGAATGTAAGTAGGACGAAAAATAACGGAAATGGGTCTGTACGGATGACCAAAAAATAGAAAAAACAATATCGTCACCGTTAATTTGCAAATCTTTAATCCATCATCAATCCATTGTCTGACATTTCACTATTCATGCGTTTCATAGAAATTCCATTCTGTTCCCACTCTTCCTTTCTTGATCTTTCCCCATCTTCTGCTGAGAGACATTACGTTTACACTCGCGTCATATACTACTTATAAGTAGCGTGCACTACAGATCGAGTATGAACAGGTTTTATCACGCCGCAGCTGATGTAAGCGTAAAATAATTGCCGAATATATTTTAAGGTTTCGTTATTAGATGTTTTGTGTGTTTAAGACCGACGGATATCTTGACTGGAAATTGTCTGTCCAGGTTGTATTGTTTTTTCCGATCTGTTTGCAACTTTGTTCACTATAAGCTGTTTTCAATTTATTCGCCCTCTATTCATTGTTTCACCACACCTGTAAATCTCTCTGTGTGACCCGCTTCTTCAGGTGTAAGATGTAACAAACATTGTGTATATTCAGTTTAATAGAGATATAAAATGAGATGCCTTGTGGATAGCAGTGATATACACGTCTGACGATTCATCTTATTTGGAACTTGTCGGTTGACCATATTTACCAACGTGCAAGTTGTAATAAACCCCGGAACTCTACATATCGCAATCATTTCAACCACTGGGAGCAATCAAACAACCAGTAGAATTAAATAGTAAACTTCACTAAAAGTAACTTATAGTTTACCAACAAAGATGTTCTGATGTACTTCATGTTCGCAGCGTTGTTGTCATCAAGTATAAATAAATACTTTGGGCAATCTAGGTCAACAAATGAGATTCCAGAACAGAAATTAATTTATTCGCATCCCATGTTCTTTATTGCTAACTGTATATTCTATTATAACATGGAAATCAGTCGTTTAACAAGTTTTTGGGCAAGCGATATTGTAGATATGCCTAGTAATTTACCACCAAATCTATCAAGATTAGAGTTCACTTACTCTCATGGACATCTGTTCAATGTGTAAAAGTGAGAGCATGTGTAAACGAATCAGTATAACTGGCTCATTTGTAAATCATGCATACATGTCATTTACACGACCGTGTCGCCAAATGTTGATTCACGATTGGCTTGCATCGGCACTTCAACCAACGATAGTAGGTGGAGTAGATGGGAATGCTCACGCATTAATTTATCTCCGGAGTCTGTTGAGTTCAGGTGACCTGTTGTTTGACGAAATCCAGGAACGCATGCAGCAGGTTCGACTAGCTTTTGACAACTTGTGTCATTTATGGCGTTCCCGGTATATCCGTCTACTGATCAAAAGACGAGTTTGCTGCACAGCAGTTCGCTCTATCATGACATACGGGTAAGAAACGTAGCCAGTAAGAATAGCGAACATTCGTAGTTTCTCAGTGCTCGATCCAAGGTGACTAAGAATGGTTGCTCATATACGCTGGGACAGAAGAGTAAGAAATTCTGTTTTTCGCAGATGAGTACTACGTAGGGAAGACAGAGTAATATGTGAAATAGTGAAACTCCATTAGTTGAGGTGGTTGAAACACGTGTGACGTATGTCTCGTCGCTAACTGCATAAGTGAGCGATGTTTTGTGACGTAGTGGTTCGCTAGAAGAAAGCCATGCACGGAAAAACCAAAACATGACGTGGATTCATAGAGTCATTGACAACCTGACTGGATCATGTTACTAGCTGCGGTTGATCTAGGGTCGGCAAAACGATGGTAACCGATGGTTAGATACTTTGAATGAAATGGCTCAAAATCGTTCGCAATTACTAAGATGGGTTCATTCGTTGTCTTGTCTCAAATTCCAACCGTTTGAGCTGCTTACGACGTTTTTCTATTTCTCAATATATTTCACTGACAAACACTTCTCAAATCATAGTTTTGATACTCAATATTTTCGACTACTGCCAATCTGTACATTTTCTACCAATATGGGTGTTAATGTGGTATGGTAATTTGAATAATCATAGGTACATACCACGATTTTTGCTGAAACCAATTAGTTGATAACTTATGTTGTTTTGCACTTTTGATGTATACGATGCGTTGTACTGTTTTATTGATTACATGAATTATCACTTATATTCTCCCTTCTACAGGTGCATCATTATCATGTATTTACTTCACAGTAAATGCTGATTTTGAGTGCTGATTCAAAAGATGCTTAGGTTTAGCTAATGGGATTAGTATTGCTGGTGTTAGTATCGGGCAAATGGTATTCCCTTCACTGATTACTCATTTAAATACAACGTATAGTGTTAGAGGGGGTGGAGTGATTATGGCTGCAATCTGTTTACATCTATTGATTACAGCTGTAATAATGCCCCGTTATATCATTGATCCAGATGCACCGAATGTATTCACAGAAAAAAATGATGTGGGCATATCGAAAAAGAAATAATCTAAATCGAGAGAAGGCAAATAATTGATGCCATGTAAAGATCAATCTACGATAGACAAACAATTGACATTGATAATTGATTCAGGAGAGAAAAATCTGACCAATGCTGCTATAGATGAATTCTCTACGAAATTAGACAATTCAAAGTAAGGTAACTTTAAATATTTACTTCTTGTATTTTGTTTATGAAGTTTAAGCAATAGGTTTTACATAACATTACTTACTTACTGACGCCTGTTACCCCCAACCTAGCATTGGTCGCCCACCAGTTTTCTCCAACCAATCTGTCCTGGACTTCCCCCTCCAGTTCTGTCCAATGTTTGTTTATTCCTCTCATATCTTTCTCGATTTCCCGGCGTAATGTGTTCCATGACATTCCTCTTTCCCTTTCGCCTTGGGGGTTCCATGTAAGGGCTTTTCTTATGGCGCAGTTAGGTGCTTCTCGTAGTGTGTGTCCTATCCACTTCCACCGCTTTTTCTTGATTTCTTCTTCCACTGGAATGTGGTTTTTTCTCTCCCACAGTTCGTTGTTGCTGATGGTGTCTGGCCAACAAATACGAAGTATTTTGCGTAGACAACTGTTAATAAACACTTGTATCTTCTGGATGATGGCTTTGGTAGTTCTCCATGTTTCCGCCACATACAGTAGAACTGTCTTCACATTTGTATTGAAAATCCTGATTTTGGTTTTGGTTGAAAGTTGTTTGGAGTTTCAGATATTTTTCAGTTGTAGAAGTGCGGCCCTTGTTTTGCCGATCCGTGCCCTCACATCTGCATTGGATCCACCTTGGTTGTCGATGATGCTGCCCAGATATGTAAAGGTGTTAACGTCCTCGAAAGCATCTCCATCAAGAGTGATTTGGTTGGTGCATGTTGTGTTGCATCGGAGAATTTCGCTTTTTCCTTTATGTATGTTGAGACCTACTGCTGCAGAGGCTGCTGCTACACTGGTCGTCTTCTCTTGCATTTGTTGTTGCGTGTGCGATAGAAGAGCCAAGTCATCTGCGAAGTCTAGATCGTCCAGCTGCGTCCTAGCTGTCCATTTGATACCGTGCTTCCCTCCAGATGTTGACGTGTTCATAACCCAGTTGATTACCAGCAGAAAGGGGAATTGTGAGAGTAAGCAACCTTGCCTGACACCGGTCTTCACCTCGGTGCGTGAGCTGACCCCCTTACATAACATATAAATAATAAATAATAACTAAACAATAATAAAGTTTACTTTATTCCAATTTGTGTTCATTTGAGAGTATCGTGAGTTAGGACTAGATCTAGTTTTCACGGTACTTACTATTCGTCAACAACTGCTTATTTCTCGGTCATTCAGAAGATCAGTTATTATCTTGTGACGTCTCCATTGCGATACTCTAGGTGGCATCAAATAAACTGCATTGATGGAAGTTCAGTTTCCTCAACATAGCATATACACACTGTTGACGAGTTTTAACCAGGTTTAAAACTTTGATATATAGGTTAGTGTATCTTTTGTTGTACCAGTATTCAGCACTGAACTGTTCTCAAGTTTTAACATATCTGATATATCATTTTGCTTTTTGTCAATAATAAAGATCCTCAGTTCTCACTGTATAATTTTTTTTTCAGTTTGATATAGCCCAAATCATATCATTCCGTCTATTATATTACCTACGTGAATTCATAGAGAAAAGAAATGATTCGAATAAGTTGATAAGTCATTTTTCTCCAACTAATCAGTAGCAAAAATTGGTTATCGCATCAACTAATTATTGTATATGCTAGAAGTTATCTACAAAATTCTGGACGTCTGTTTCGTTCCAGTATCAGGCTCATCAGCATTGCGCATCCACTAACTCATTAAATTTAATGGAATCTAAGACATTTCGCCTCAGCTCAATGGTTAAACAGTTAAACATTCATATTGAAAACTAATCGTATTTATCTGAAAGACTAACGGAATAATTTTTCATTCCCGTCAGCAAGTTTACGTGAAATATAAAACTAGTGTTATTATTTTTGTTTCTTAATACGAATTGTCATCTAAAAATGTTGTTTTTTAAATGAATTAATTTGTCTATTTTTGTAACTTTCAGAAATACTCTAGACACTTGAAATGTTATTAATTGATGAAAGTATTCAATAAAAAATGTTTACAGATAAATCTCATATTTTATTGAAATTTTACTACTTACTAACCTAATTTGCTTCTACTGTAACGGTTCCTCAAGATATTTCCCGGCTAAATCTTATTGCTTAGTATTCTTGACACAAAACACTGGACAAATAACCCAAATCAGAACACGGTTGAACAGGAAGGATTGTATTCCAAAATAGCAAGGAAAAGAAGCCCGAGGTGATGGCGAAAGCCAAAGTAAGGAAGACTAAGATGGGTTCATTCGTTGTCTTGTCTCAAATTCCAACCGTTTGAGCTGCTTACGACGTTTTTCCATTTCTCAACCAATTTGTTGATAACTTATGTTGTTTTGCACTTTTGATGTATACGGTGCGTTGTACTGTTTTATTGATAACATGAAATGTCACTCATATTCTCCCTTCTACAGGTGCATCATTATCATGTATTTACTTCACAGTAAATGCTGATTTTGAGTGCTGATTCAAAAGATGCTTAGGTTTAGCTAATGGGATTAGTATTGCTGGTGTTAGTATCGGGCAAATGGTATTCCCTTCACTGATTACTCATTTAAATAGAACGTATAGTGCTAGAGGTGGTGGAGTTATAATGGCTGCAATCTGTTTACATCTATTGATTACAGCTGTAATAATGCCCCGTTATATCATTGATCCAGATGCACCGAATGTATCCACAGAAAAAACTGATGTGGGCATATCGAAAAAGAAATCATCATCGAAATCACAATCTAATTCGAAAGAAGGCAAACAATTGATGTAATATACATCCAGCCCACGGAACTAAACACCATGACAATTGCAAAACTGTGTATATTCCTTCACGCCATACTGTAGTAAGTAGAATGATAAGTCGCTAGTTGAATAGAATTATAAATTCATGATATTGTTGAGATTATTTTGTATAATCAGTTGCATCGATATCAAAAATCCCTATACTCAACTTAATAAATGCAGTACGCTTTGAATATGATAATGTACTAAGCACTAGGCCTCGAAAATATCGTGACACATTCAACAGCGGTAGAAGTTCACTCTACCTATTCAAACGTTCTAAAATGGCCAGGCTTAGGCAGCAAACACTTTGAGTAATGTCCTGCTAACTGCCGTGTTTGTGCGATCGCGATTTAGAACCGGAGGGGTCTACGGAACTCAGTATTCAGATGGAACAAATGACGTGTGAATATACTGTCGATCAACGTCTACCGTGAAGTTTATTGAATCCGTCACAATGCATAACTATGATCTTCTGGCCTGTATGTCTACTGAAATTCCCAAAGGTAAAATTAACGACGAAATGACAAAACACAAACCTAATTACCAATTTAGTGTATTCAATAACAGGAAACAAATGACACTAATCAGTGATCGATGCAACTAGACCATCATATACACAGATGACCACAGAATAAGCAGTGCTCGTGTTAGGGAAAAGGGTACCGTGCAAGAATGATATATTGAATAATAAAGTAATGAATCGTTAGCAAATGAAGTGGTTGGAATCTCTCTGTGCTAATGTGCACATAAGAAGTTTACAGTTGTAGCTGATTGGCTGACATGACAGTTAATTTCAGGCACTTTAATGTGCTAAAGACAGAAAGTATATGACCAATTTTTTTAAATTATCTTCCAAAAATTAAAAAAGGACTTGGGAAGAATAACAGATAAAACACTTACCCATTGGAAATTGTTTTGGTGATATAACTAATCTTAAGATCATCATAGTTACGGCCAATGACTGAGTAAATTCTGATGAACCAACCTAATCTCAAAAAACTAGAATAATTCGTGTCATCGCACTGCCAGTGCGAATACGATGAATACCGGAACCAATAAAATACCATAGAATTCATAGCTTGGATTCATGACCAGGATTATTAATAATATTATTATTATCGATGCTAAAGATATCTGTATTATTATTTGCGATAATCTACAAAAGAAAGAAATCATCATCGAGATATAATATGGATTGATTCATGTAATACAATTTTGTATTATTGTTAAGTTTGTTGAATTATTTTCATTGTATGCAAAACAAACTTAGATGTGGGATAATTGGTAACGCCATTTGTTTACACACGACACTCCGGATCCGTTGGCAAAACACTATCAGCAACAACCTACGTTCTTAGATAACTAACCATATTTGGAATCCACTAGGGCAAACGAAAACAGGAAGATAGAGGAATACATTGTCAAGAATCGGAAACAGACATATAAATGATAAACAACAATTAGAAAAGAAGGCTTGGGACAAATTTGTTTGGATAATACTAGTCAACTACCTTTACTTCATTAGCGGTACAACAAGCGTCATATTGTTACACTATTTGTAAAGCTTCAAATTGCACTATTTTAGACAGGTAACATAAACTTTTGATCGATCAATGCTGGTGTATATGTGCGGATAGACACAATATGGTCGAATACCTCAGTTGATAAAGAACTACTATTTGACCGAATGATTGGTGATCGTTTCCCAGTAGCACTCTTTAAGTAGTTTTAGTTTTGTTTACTCGATGATTATACTAACAATATATGCAGAATTTTAACATTCTATTCAATAGTTTCCACAAAATGCCCTGTTACCGCAATGAGCGTAGAGAATTCTCTTTTCCATTCCGATTTGTTGCATATGGTCAAGTAAGTGATACTCACTACCTTCTCGCTATGGAGGCGTGTTTTACGAAATCAAGAGAACGGAAGGCAAATGTTCGGTCCTTTAACCGGGTTAGTGAAAGCGAAAGAAGCAATGCACTGACACACATGGGCTCCAGAATCCTGAGGTAACAACTGATTTGTGAACGGCTACCATGTAACAGCTACTAGTAAACCACAACGACCAACACAACCTGGTCTGTCTGTGGGCCGACCGACTCTAAGACGTGTAATTAAATTACTGACAACAGCTATAAAGTAATTATATCACACTTGCAGTCCGCTCTGAACCCAAAAGTGTAGGTTCACACGCGTCCCACCCAGTCCAAGTCCAAAAGCGAGAACGGCTCTGTATTTAATCAAAAACGGAAATTTAGACAGTTACCAAAACAATATTACACCTTCGAGTTTCCAATCACCACAATAGGTTCCGTTACTAGAAGAATAAGTGCTTCCAGTCAGTTACTGCTAGAGTACCAAATCCAAATATGGCTGGAGCCAGAATAAATATCAGTTTTCAACAACACGTATATAGTTCAGAAGGAAACATGGAAACATCAATATAAGTGCAAGATATAGAAATAATAACAATATACAGATTATAAATTCTCAAACGGAATCAAATAAAGTACCAAAATATCAAACAGAAGAGTCAGTCATATCATAACACAAATATATATACATGGAGGGATTTTCCAAAAAACAAAGCCTTCAAAATAGATTCTACAACAGCAACATCTGAAGCGATGTTGACTGGATGATACATACAACAATTGAAGTGTTAGCCTTATGTTGAACATATTCTTCAAGTTTAAGAATGAAGATTATTTTAAATGAAAGCAGAAACACAAATAATGAACATAGGTACAAACTTAACTGTCAGATATTCAAAAGAACCGTACTACCGTTGAACAATTATGAAAATAGGGCTAAACTTATATTCCTAAATCTAATTGATAAGGATTTCCTAATTTGAAACTTTCAAAAAAACAGCAGTACAGATCTGTTTGAATATTTACCAAATTACGGAGACGTTTCAGTATTCACGTAGTGATAAGTGAAGAAATATTTCTGTTTTATCAATACACTTAACAATTACAAGTGCGAGAAGTAATTTACTTACAGTATATAAATCGTTTTGTTCAACAATAAAGTAGTAAACCTATCTGATGTAGGAAAGTTTATTCACAAAAAATAAGTTAAAAAAAACTCGTGTTATTAACTACAAAACATACAAATCTCAACTTAATTGAATAAAACATGATTAGCAATGTGAAGTGCAACTAATTGAATTATTTGTGGGCTGTATTACTGCCCGGTCAACCTAATTACGGCAGATAATTAAACTAAAAGGTCACTTTGCACGTCTTCCATCAGTTAACTTATTCTACTACGAAGTTGACAACGTTAGGAGTTACAGTTCCTTGGTAGCCAGTGACAGATAAGTGGTTTACGCACCATTCTGTAGTCCATGTGCAACGACAAAAATGTCTTACAAAATATTCTTACAATGATAAAAATTGCATACAGTTCAGTGCCAAATACTGTTGTAATAAAAGTTTCACTCACAACACGCTCAACATCACTAAATGATAATGATAGGACAGATATACAGGACGACGATGAGGATATCAACGTAGAGCGAATAATAGTATTCACTAAATGTACAGCGATATCTCTGCAATGAAATAAAACACACAAAAGCGAACCATAAGACTTACTGATGATCCTCTGAAATCAACACAAATTCGAATAAAGTGGAAACCTACATTTAATGATTTACCTACATAAAAACATTAAAGTAAGGAAATATTCAACGTAAATTTACTTTGAATTGTCTAATTTCGTAGACAATTCATCTATAGCAGCATTGGTCGGATTTTTGTCTCCTGAATCAATGCCAATTGTTTGTCTTTCGTGGATTGATCTTTACATGGCATTAATTGTTTGCCTTCTTTCGAATTAGATTGTGATTTCGATGATGATTTCGTTTTTGATTTCCTCACATCAGTTTTTTCTGTGGATACACTGGGTGCATCTGGATCAATGATATAACGAGACATTAATACAGCTGTAATCAATAAATGTAAACAGATTGCAGCCATAATCAAACCACCATCTCTAGCACTATACGTTGTATTTAAATAAGTAATCAGTGAAGGGAATACCATTTGCCCGATACTAACACCAGCAATACTAATCCCATTAGCTAAACCTAAATAACGTTTGAAACAACAACCGACAACAGCAAATACTGTGAAATAAATACATGATAATGATGCACCTGTACAAGGGAGAAAGAATAAAGTAAGTGAAAAATTAATTCACATGTATGTAATCAATGAAACAGTACAACAAACATATCGAAAAACATCAAAAGTGCAAAACAATTAAGGGTAGATGTGTAGACTATCAGTCAATCAGTTGCAATGATAAAAGATGGTATGTACCTTGTATCAGTTCAAATGACCATACCAGATTAACATCCATAGTAGTGGAGAATTGTTGTTACGCCTGCATGTAAACATACCAGCTTAATATGCCTGAATCATCAAGAGTTTACCCAGTCGCAAAACGAGAGCGAGGATCCGGTGACACGACATGCTACTCAAATCCGATTATCCCAACTCCTATATTGAGTACCAGAAGACAAGACTTGATATGAAGTAGAACCTGTATTCTACAAGCATCCAGAAGGTACGAGGTCCGAATCCAGAAGAGTATCAGGATACCGGACCAAGGATCTGGGACCGGGTCCTCGTCCTGGTCATAAAACCTTACACATAATGCGTATTTATACATTTTGGTCGAATAGGAAACAGCATCGAAGTCAGTGACATTGATAGTTATGACGACTAATAGGAAGCAACATTTGAAGTGACATTGGTAGTCAGGACAGCCAATAATGAACAACATTGGAGCATTGATATTGACATTGACATTGACATCTAGGACGACCATAAAATTGACCATTAGGAATTAACCAATAGGAATAGACTAATAATTCTCTTAGGATATTGGATGAATATCCTAACAAGAATGTAGCAATATTAGTAGTGATCGAAAGTATTTGGAGATCGTTACTGTGATTTGACGAGCATATACCAGTGAAATAAATTAATAAAGAGAAAAAGGTTATAAGGAATTCAACAGGTTAGACTTTGAAAGAAGACAACGAATGTGTGCATTTGAATTAATGCAAACGACTTTGAGGCATGTCATGTCAACGTACTTAACATTCCGTTACTAGAGTCTTGTGAGCCGGGACCAGGGTAGTGTACATCCATTAACATGGCTCATTGAAGTTGTCGACGGTTAAGCATGAGTAACATGTCCCAACCACTTCAACTGATGAGCACTTACCACTTCATCAATTGACCTACCATCTTTACCTAGTACCCCTTTCCGAACCCCAAAATCGCTTACTCGATTGTCCCAGGATAGATGAGTAATGCCTTGAACATACCGATCATTAAATCACTAATAACCTACGACATAAGCCTGTCGAACATATTGTATCCTCGTCGAGATATCGTCATACACTAGACCAACTGCACCAGTGAGACTCCCCAGATAAATGACACAAAAAAGTGATCGAAAACTTGGAACCTCAAAGTATCCTCTATCCTTACTGGCCTTGTTTCACACCCGCGCGTAATACAATGATTATCTGTTCATGGTCTGGTTGCATTGATCACTGATTAGTGTCATTTGTTTCCTGTTACTGATTACACTTAAGTGGTAATTAGGTTTGTGTTTTGTCATTTCGTCGTTAATTTTACCTTTGGGAATTTCAGTAGACATACAGGCCAGAAGATCATAGTTATGCATTGTGACGGATTCAATAAACTTCACGGTAGACGTTGATCGACAGTATATTCACACGTCATTTGTTCCATCTGAATACTGAGTTCCGTAGACCCCTCCGGTTCTAAATCGCGATCGCACAAACACGGCAGTTAGCAGGACATTACTCGAAGTGTTTGATGCCTAAGCCTGGCCATTTTAGAACGTTTGAATAGGTAGAGTGAACTTCTACCGCTGTTGAATGTGTCACGATATTTTCGAGGCCTAGTGCTTAGTACATTATCATATTCAAAGCGTACTACATTTACTAAGTTGAGTATAGGGATTTTTGATATCGATGCAACTGATTATACAAAATAATCTCAACAATATCATGAATTTATAATTCTATTCAACTAGAGACTTATCATTCTACTTACTACAGTATGGCGTGAAGGAATATACACAGTTTTGCAATTGTCGTGGAGTTAAGTTCTGTGGGCTGGATGTTTTGGTTAAGGAGCTTTCATTGTTCTTCTGATGAACGTAATCAGCATAAACTTCAGATAGAAGTGAAGCATTCGAATTTCTCCACGTCTTTATTGGTTAGCATCAATTGTTTGCCTTCTTTCGAATTAGATTGTGATTTCGATGATGATTTCGTTTTTGATTTCCTCACATCAGTTTTTTCTGTGGATACACTGAGTGCATCTGGATCAATGATATAACGAGGCATTAATACAGCTGTAATCAATAGATGTAAACAGATTGCAGCCATAATCACATCACCACCTCTAGCACTATACGTTCCATTTAAATGAGTAATCAGTGAAGGGAATACCATTTGCCCGACACTAACACCAGCAATGCTAATCATATTAGCTGAGCCTAAACATCTTTTGAATCAGCACTCAAAATCAGCATATACTGTGAAGTAAATACATGATAATGATGCACCTGTAGAAGGGAGAATATGAGTGACATTTCATGTAATCAATAAAACAGTACAACGCACCGTATACATCAAAAGTGCAAAACAACTTAAGTTATCAACTAATTGATTGATAAATGGAAAAACGTCGTAAGCAGCTCAAACGGTTGGAATTTGAGACAAGACAACGACTAAACCCATCTTAGTTATTGCGAACGATTTTGAGCCATTTCATTCAAAGTATCTAACCATCGGTTACCATCGTTTTGCCGACCCTAGATCAACCGCAGCTAGTAACATGATCCAGTCAGGTTGTCAATGACTTCATGGATTCACGTCATGCTTTGGTTTTTCCGTGCATGGCTTTCTTCTAGCAAACCACTACGACACAAAACATCGCTCACTTATGCAGTTGGCGACGAGACATACGTCACACGTGTTTCAACCACCTCAACTAATGGAGTTTCACTATTTCACATATTACTCTGTCTTCCCTACGTAGTACTCATCTGCAAAAAACAGAATTTCTTACTCTACTCTCCCAGCATATATGAGTAACCATTCTAAGACACCTTGGATGGAGCACTGGTAAACTACGAATGTTCTCAATACTTACTGTCTACGTTATGATGGAGCGTACTGATGTGCAGCAAACTCCTCTTTTGATCAGTAGACGGATATACCGGGAACGCCATAAATGACACAGGTTGTCAAAAGCTAGTCGAACCTTCTGAATACGTTACGGTATTTCGTTAAACAACAGGTCACCTGAACTCACCAGACTCCGGAGATAAATTAATGCGTCAACATTCCCATCTACTCCACCTACTATCGTTGGTTGAAGTGCCGATGCAAGCCAATCATGAATCAACATTTGGCGACACGGTCGTGTAAATGACATGTATGCATGATTTCTAAATGAGCCAGTTATACTGATTCATTTACGCATGCTCTTACTTTTACACATTGAACAGATGTCCATGAGAGTAAGCGAACTCTTATGTTGATAGATTTGGTGGTTTGTATCAGTCAGTAAATTACTAGGCATATCTACAATATTGCTTGCCCGAGAGCTTGTTAAACGACTGATTTCCATGTTATAATAGAATATACAGTTAGCAATAAACAACATGGGATGCGAATAGAATAATTTCTGTTCTGGAAACACATTCGTTGACCTAGATCACTCAAATGACTTAGTTATGCTTGATGACAGTGCTGAGAGCGTTAAATACATCAGAACATCTTTGTTGGTAAACTAAGAAAGCTTGGAATCTGTCTCTCTATCTCTATAAGTTACTTTTAGTGAAGTTTACTATTTATTTCTGCTTGTTGTTTGATTGCTTTCAGTGGTTTGATTGGTAGAGTACAGGGGTCTACAACAACTTCGAAAGTTGGTAAACCTGGTCAACCGACAAGTTCCAAATAAGACGAATCGTCAGACGTGGATATCACTGCTATCCACAAGGCATTTCCGCTTATATCTCTATTATACTGAATATACACAATGTTTGCTACATCTTACACATGAAAAAACGTGTCACACAGAGAAATTTATAGTTTCGTAGTATTTTTGGATAGTGAGGGATTAAATTAAAAATAGCTTATAGTAAACAACTTTGCAAACAGATCGGGAAAAGAATACAACCTGGATAGACATTTTCCAGTCAAGATATCCTTCGTTCTTAAACATACAAAACATCTAATTACGAAACCTTACAATATATTCGGCACTTACCTAACGCTTACATCAGCTGCGGCGTGATAAAACCTGTTCACACTCAATCCTTCGTAATTTGTACAGCCCTTTTCCGTAATATTTCGTGCTACTTATATTCCCAGTTTATTCCGTTGTTATGCACACAAATGACAAACGATTTGTCATGTGAGTTTCACATTTATGAAAGTTCGTGCAGACAAACTTGTTACGTTATTGTTCGCAAAATGCCACCACAACCTCTAGTTAATTTTTTTCGATACGCTTAATACTTTGCGCATAATCAAGCACAACCAATATCATTTGTATCCACGCTTGTACGACGAGTGTTTGGAGCTCGATATATGTACCCAATCAGTATTATACATTTATGGGTGTGCACAGGGAACCATATCAAATAAGACACCTTATTGAAAGCAGTATCGCTAATGATTTCTGCTTTGCTACACTCAGTCGCCAGTATTTGACGATTTTAACAGTACAGCTAAATGCTGATGTTGGAATGGTCAATGGAATTTGACACAGATCAAGGTGGCAATCACTCCTATATGTCATGACTTTCTGCGCCACAAGCAGAGCCATCAAAAGGAATAGATCTCTGATGGCATTCTGAGTAAAAATCATGGAACGATTACTAAAAAGGCAGCAAACAATATCAGCTGAACAAGAGAAGAGCAAGTCAAGTCGGTAGATGAATAAACAAAAGCAAGCAAGCAAGTGAATATGGACATCAAAGTTGACGAAACTAAACCATTATAATAATAATAATAATTTATTCTCAAATAACAAACATGTTACAAGAGTCATGCCAATTTACAGGCAAGATCAAAATTTTAAGATTAGCCACATA